ATGGCTCAAGTGGTAGAGAGCTAGCCTAGAGCAAAAGAAGCTCAGGGTCAGTGCCAAGGCCCTGAGTTCAAGCCCCAGGACTGGCAAAAAAAAGAGAGAGAGACAGAGACAGAGAGAGGAATTTAAGCTAGTCTTCCAGGTCTCCTAGATTCCCTCCTCCAATAAAATCTGAAGGTTGGTGTGTTCCAGTGAACCAATGTGACTTAAGTACATGAGACTAGAGAGAAAGGAAACACCAAATCCACATGAGGTTTGTAGTGAAGGAAAGTGTGGTTTTATCTAAGTGCTAGGTTTAAAGCAAAGACAGGGTAGGACAAGATGAGGTTGTTGTTCTTTAAAGTTTTAAATACCATGCTGCCTGCTATGTGCAGATAGGCTTTGAAGTGTTACCAAAAAAAAGTGGGGGGTAGGGGAAGGATCCTTGTCATCTTGTCATAGTCCTTAAAAGAGGCGAGCGGTGAGTAAGGGGGACAGGGAGTCATGAATGTGGGACAGATGTGGAATGAAGAACTGACAGTCCCAGAAAACAGACTTAGAATACTCGAATGAGGGAAAGAGGCACGCAAGAGATAGCCTGGGTTTGGGCTTGGAAGGAAATAGAATGAGGGGAAAAAGTTTCTTGAGTATGATTTGTGGTTGTAAAAAAGGCCAAAAAACAGAATCAAAATAATATGGACATTTTTTTTAAAAAAACAAGTTTTAAATTTATAACTTCCTTTCAAGAATCAATCTTAACTATACTAAGGACTTTTGGTTTGGTAAAAAAAAAAAAAAAAAATCTCAAGAGGCTGAGAAGGTGGCTCAGTGGTAGAGCACTTGCCTTGCATGCATGAGGCCCTGGGTTCGATTCCTCAGTACCACATAAGCAGAAAAAAAAAGCAGGAAGTGGCGCTGTGGCTCAAGTGGTAGAGCGCTAGCCTTGAGCTGAAGAGCTGAGGGACAGCGCCCAGGCCCAGAGTTCAGGCCCCACGCCTGGACCAAAAAAAAAAATCTCAAGCTCACTGATTACTGTTGTCTACCACTGGGGTTAAAGATAAACTAGATTTTGATAGTTCTGTGTCTCTAAACTCAGAGGTCAAAGGAAAAAGTAAGGAGTGTGAATGAGAGAAACAAGACAGTCTAAAAAACAAATACAACAAAGTAATACAGTAAGTATTCACTGTCTCACACCAAATCAATGATTAGAAACTGTCTGCTTCTTTAATTCCACATACAATGGCCTTAAGTATTTTACAGTATTTTTTACAAAGTGGTGACTCAAATTTTAGTCTGGTCATGAAATCTCATTAGGTACCCAAAGTTATAATGAAAAATTAATGATGTTTACAGCCAACATGTAAACCAATGGTTAGTGACCTTGAGCAAATTACCATTTCTAATACTTAATTTCTTATGAATGTCAACAAAAATAATTAAGCTCAAAAATTACAAATTACAAAAATTACAAATAACATTTCCAAAGTGTCTGGCACATAGAGGGAAAATGTTCCATAAATAGAAGCTACTAAAATGTAAAAGTCCTCTAATACACCAATGCCTATTAGTTATTTCCAACTTTGGTAGCTTAGATTCTGTTTCCAGAAAAGCTGTATAAACTAAAGAGAGAATGTAACACATGAACAGAGGCAGAGAATGTAGTCACAGCTGGAGTATATGACTAGCATGCACAAGGTCCAAAGTTTAATCCCTAGCACAGTTTAAAAAAAAAAGTGCCAAGTATGGCACAATGAATAAGCAGAAACTCAAATGAATAGGGTGAAAGGTTTTATCATAATTCAGTTACTTAGAACTTAGGAATATATTTTCTCATAGAATCAATGTTTACTTCAACTTTTTTTTTTTTTTGGTCAGTTGTGGGGCTTGAACTTGGGGCCTTGGAACTGTCCCTGAGCATTTTTGCTCTACCACTTTGAGCCACAGCACCATCTCTGGGTTTTGAGTGGGTAACTGGAGATTAAGAGTCTCACAGAGACTTTTCTGCCCAGGTTAGCTTTGAACTGCAATCCTCAGATCTCAGCTAGAATTACAGGTGTGATCCACTGCACCCAGCTGCTTCAATTCTTAATAGCTCATTAAAATCATTATATAGTTACAATATAACATCTACCAATAAAAGTAGTAGGAAAACTGATAAATCACTAAAAAACAGAGAAAACTTTAAAGACTTTAAATATTCATTTATTTTGGAAGCTAGTACTTGAAGGAGAAGATTTTATGGAAAATTTCTGTGATAACTGAGAAAGAAAAATCCAAAAGCTTAATAAACTTAAAAACGTAACCGGGGGCCAGTAGCTCACACCTGTAGTCCTAGCTATTCAGGAAGCCGAGATCATCAGATCTCGGTTCAAAACCAGCCCAGGCAGGAAAGTCCGTGAGACTTTTATCTTCAATAAACCACTAGAAAACCGGAAGTGGTACTGTGGCTCAAGTGGTAGAGCGCTAGCCTTGAGCTGAAAAGGGCAGGGACAGTGCCCAGGCCCTGAGTTCAAGCCCCACGACCAACCAAAAAACAAAAACAAAAAAAACTTAAAAATGTAAATAAATAAGCTGATAGCCCTAGTTCTTTTTTTTTTTTTTTTGTCAGTCGTGGGGCTTGAACTCAGGACCTGGGCATTGTCCCTGTGCTCTTAAGCTTAAGGCAAGCACTCTACTACTTAAGCCACAGCACCACGTCCAGTTAGTTTTCTAGTAGTTTATTGGAGATAAGAGTCTCACAGACTTTCCTACCCGCAATGGCTTTGAGCCAAGATCCTTACATCTCAGCCTCCTGAGTAGCTAGGATTACAGGCATGAGCCACCGGTGCCTGGCTAATTATACTGAATTTAAGAGGCCTCTGCAGGAAGAAACTGAAGAGGAGCTAAGGCCCAGCATTACAATTTGGAAAGAAGAAAACAAAGTAATAAAAACTAGTCAGGAGAGGCCCACTGTGATTAATTCATTGGCTTAAAAGTTACAGATAATAAAAAGAGGGAAGGCAAAACAAAAGTAAATGCATCTGCATTCTACCATTTATACAAAGGAAATGTTCATGAGTTTGATTCACGATTTAAAATGTGGAACAGCAGATAATTCTAAATTGTCTTTCAAACCCTTTTTATTTTTTCTAAATTCCTGCAAATAGTTTTGTTTTCTTTTTGTTTGTTTTTCTTGTTTGCCCTAGGACTTGAACTCAGGGACTGGGTGCTATTCATTGAGCTTTTTTGCTCAAGGCTAGCCCTCTACCATCTTGAGCCACAGTACTACTTCCAGTTATATGGTGGTTAATTGGAGATAACGAGTCTGGCTGGCACAGTGGTAGAGTGCTTGCTTTGCATACATGATTTCCTGGATTCGATTCCTCAGCACCATATTGGCAGAAAAGGCTGGAAGTGGCACTGTGGCTCAAGTGGTAGAGTGCTTGCCTTGAGCTAAAGAGCTGAGGGACAGCACCCAGGCCCAGAGTTCAAGCCCCATGACCAACACACACACACACACACACACACACACACACAAAGTGTCACAGCCTTTCCTGGTCAGCATGGCTTTAAACCATGATCCTCAGATCTCAGCCTCCTGAGTTGCTAGGCGTGAGCCCCAGCACTGGGCTCCAAACAGTTTTTATGTAGATAGTATTACAGTAGTATTACTATGCATTATTAGGTAGCTATAAGGTACAACTAGGAAAAGAATTTTTTAAGATTGTATGTGCCTAAAATACTTTAGGAAAGTCGACTCAAAGTCAGTAGCCATGAAGAATGCCAATGATTTTAAACCACACACAGCAACTTTCTGCAATCTAGTAAATCTTACTGTTAAGTTAAATAATGAAATACTTTTTGAAAATGTTGATAATTCTTAAGAAATCATAATGAGATGTCACAGACAGATAAAATAAGATTTTCCATGGATTTACCTTAACCCCAGGCATTTTTGCAAAACAAATAAACAAACAACAACATCTACTTAATAAATGCTACCAGAATTGCCAATGATTGGGTATACTTGCCAGAATTTAATGGCAGAATTTAGATGTTTACAAATCAACAAATCTGAAATAATTCTGCCAGGTCCAATTAGAAACAGGGATGCAACCAGCCAAACTTTTTACATAACTGAAGAACTGCTATCCTCACTTGTTTGATTTCCAAGAAACGTACTTTATGAACTAAGTGATCACTTTTAGATCCATATTTGTCCACAGTACAAATACATAAACCTTGCCAAATTAAGTGTTCCAACGGTAGACAAGACTGCTAAATAATCAACCTGAATGAATACACAGGATTTACAGAAACATTGGTGTGGGATGCTAAAAAATCTGAGTCCCTGATTTCCAAGTATTGCAGAATTTCTCTCCTATTCACAAATTTCTATCAAATGTATACAAAGACTGATTTAATGTATAAAATTTATAAGGTTTTTAATACCTTTGCTAATCAATGACAAGCATATATGTTTGCACATCTTCTAAATTAGCAGATATGAAAGGAGAATACTTCTGATGAATGCAAGGTTTTGAAATTTAAAAGTACAACAGCCATTAAATATGCCCTTTAGTTTACCTTTAATTCCAATTTAGGATATTCAATTCTATCCTCTCACATTCTCTCTTATTTCCCCTTACAAGGGTATTATTATGATATTTAACATTTTAGGAAACGGTAAATTTTTGAAAAAAATCTTGTCAATCGTATCTTTATTTTACTCAGATGTCATCAACACACACACACACACACACACTAACTTATATTAAATCTCATCTTAAAGATTTGATAATTACTTCTTTTAATTAGCTAGTGATTTAATCTAATAAAAGCACTATGGCTAAGGTACTATTTAGAGTCCACTTTAATAATAGAATATGGTCATTCAACTGATAAATTCTTCCAATGTACCAAGTAATCAGAAACCTAAAACTATTAAAATATTATTTGCTCTATGGGAAAACTTATTACATCTTTACTCAAGCATATCTGCTGAAAGACATAGAAACCCTACCAAAGTTAATTTAAGAACTTACCAATTTCCTTTGCAATTTTGACGGCTTCATCTGCATCCTGTAAAAGCAGGAAATGAGACTCAACATTAATCCCATGAGGCATTGCACAATGTCTTTAGGGCAGTCATATATTGCACTACTGTCTCCTCTGATTCATTTAATGTTCAATTTTACAACCTTCTAACCCTTTTCATTCAGAGAAATGTAAAATTAATACCATAAGTGGAATGTAAATTCTACCTCATCATTATTATATTAAGAAACTCAAAGCAGTTTGAAATGAGCTGGCAGGAAGCACTACCAGAATCGCCAATGATGCAGTTGCCAGAATTTAATGGCAGAATGTAGATGTTTACAATCAATACTGAATCATAAATCAGACCATTAAAGCTTGTCTGCAGCCAGCTTGTTTCTGTCTCTGATATTTATTTATCATGTTTTCCTAGGTTCTGTCAGCAGGGGGAGTAGATTCTCTATTGTTTGGGAGGAACTCATTCAATTTTCCAGAAATAAAATACTAAATTTCCATTATCTATATACCAATTGTTTAAAAAAGATCCCTCTGGTAATTTCCTTTATCTAGTCTGTCTTTATCCATTCTTGTTTTTTATTTCAATTTTATTTTCCTGTTTTGGCTTCTTGGAGTTTATTTCACTTTGCCTGCTTGTTAATTGAATTTAATAAATAAAATATGTATCCCTTAGATACATATTTTATTTTTACAATTGCAAATTATTATTTATTAAATTCAATTAACAAGCAGGCAAAGTGAAATAAACTCCAAGAAGCCAAAACAGGAAAATACCTTTGCAAATAGTACAAGGTTAAGAGGTTATTGGTGTAAGGATTAGCTACTGAAAATATCAACCAATGCCACATGTAACTCAAGTAGCTAGAAAAGCAAAAACTTCCCCTAAAGCTAAGTCATTCATTGATCATTAACTCATCCTAACACAACCAACATACACTAGTCCTGACACATTTACCATATAACAATAAAGAAGATGGTGAACTCCAAGCCTCCTTCTTAAGTCAATTACTTTTGTAATTCAGTGACACTATCAATAGTATTCTGAAACCACTAACCCATGTTTGCTAAATTTTTAGAAACCTTCAAAATATTGAAGTGAAGCCTGCTGCTTTTTAAGCTTTTAAGCTAAACTACATGCTAAATGTAGAGCAATCATGTCACAATCCCTCCCTAAAGGGGTAAGGAATGTTTATAACTGGTTTAGTTATGTGTAATAAAAAAAAAATCTTCCTTAAAAGTCTTCAGTACCTAATAACATCCCCTGAATAAGGGGATGTTGGCAGGGGAAGTTGTCAGAAAAATTTAATTTCCTTTCATTAGCTAGTCTGCTCCACAAATAGGTGCTTGTTAAGTTCAAAGCAGTCCTGAAAGCGACATCAATTTTAAGTCTTTTTTTACTCTAAGTAGTCACATCTGCTAATGAGATTTCCCAAATAACAATTGTTTTCAAGTGAAGAGATAAATCTATACCTCCCACCCTACCCCCCCAAATGAAGGTTTACTGCTTTATTACACCTTGCTGTGTTCACCGACTCTACATTCTCCAAATTTTAGCTTGAAAGGATAAAAATCCTTGAAAAGGCTCATTTAAGAATGTTAGTGGTTTCCATACATTGAGTTGGAAGGTTCTTTGTTCCAGCCAGTGACAGTTATTGGAGAATACTTGCTTTTAATAGCCTCTCTGTCAGGAAGTGTTAAACCTGCCAAATGCGAACAATTAGTGCCTCTCCAACAAACTACAGGAAGACTGATGGCTGATGAAGACAGGATTATAATAAACCTAGACAGAAACTTTTCAGTATTTCTTTCAAATGTGTAATGGCATATTTGAAAAAGATAATCTGAGAGGAATTAAACTGACTGTTAAAAGTTTTGTACTTAGAAAGAAAAAGCAAGTTTTAGAGTATAATTCAAAGAATTCATTAGTCATATTTTGTCACTTCTTTATAGATACACATTACACACAATTGTCTCAAAACTTCTTAAATTTCTTTATGTACCTCAAATTTTGTGAGCTACTACAAAACAATCTTTTAACTAGACAGTATACTTACATTATTTTTTACCATGAAAGTCAACTTCTGGTAAATGAGCTCCCAAGTAAAATCAAACCATCTTCAAAACCGCCATTTCACTTGTCTTTCCTCGTACACCAAAAATTTAAGAACCAGGTGCCAGTGGCTCACGCCTGTAATCCTAGCTACTCAGCAGGCTGAGATCTGAGGATCACTGTTCAAAGTCAGTCCAGGCAGGAAAGTCCATGAGACTCTTATCCCCAATAAACCACTAGAAAACCGGAAGTGGCGCTGTGGCTCAAAGCGATAGAGCACTTGCCTTGAGCAGAAGAGCACAGAGACAGAGCCCAAGCCCAGAGTTCAAGCCCCACAACCGACCAAAAAAAAAAAAAAAAAAGGATATATTATGTTCTATTATGTACTAGACACTGGAAAATTCTACCATCAATTTCAAGAAAAACCCAGTTTTATGATCTTTCAACACATTTAGTTTCTTTACTGAATTACATAAAATTACTTTCAAAAAGATGAAAAGCTCATCATCCAGCTCCAACGTCAATGGCACTGACTTGTGATTTTGTGTAAGCTCCATGTAAGGCTATAGATGAAGTTTTAACCGAACTTTGAAACAACTGGAAACAGAACATCAATCACTCACAAAAACAGGCAACTAAAAAGTTTGGATAAAGATACCATTTCCCATATGATCCAAACAAGTCATAGATGGCATATGTTCAATCGTAATCATAGTCACAGAAACTCAGGTTAGAACATTTTTTCTAGCAAATTAAATAATGATGCTGTCCAAACATGCTGACTAGAAGGTAAATAAGCACTTCTCATATGATGGTCATAGGAAATGATGTGAGTTTTTTAAAGGTAATCATCAATATCTGCTAAAGTTTGAGAACATGTGCCTTTTGGCCTAGCAGTCTTACTTGTTTAAATCCTGGTACCACAAAAAGAAAAAAAAACAAACTTATTTTATTTGTTGGAAGTTATCCTATAAGCATTCTCACATTCATGTTGAAAGGTATATAAACAAATTCATTGTTTTCAATAAAACTTAGAAAACAATTTTTACAGGCTTTCAACAAGAAACTAATATTCCAAATGTTATCACTAAAATGGAATATTACAATGCCTTTAAAAAGAATGGTAAGTTCTACACACTCTTATTCATTCATTTAGACAGTAATCCAAAACATACTTAGCATCAACAGTACAGAAAACCTATTTCTGCCCTCACAGGAGCTTATTGGAGTCTCATAAAAGAAAGAAAATCAGGTAAACAGGGGGCTGGGAAGATGGCTCAGTGGTAGAGTGCTTGCCTTGCATGCCTGAGGCCCTGGGTTCAATTCCTCAGCACCACATAAGCAAAAAGAAAAAAGCCAGAAGTGGCACTGTGGCTCAAGTGGTAGAGCGCTAGCCTTGAGCTGAAGAGCTGAGGGACAGTGCTCAGGCCCAGAGTTCAGGCCCCACGAACGGACCCAAAAAAAAAAAAAAGAGAGAGAATCAGGTAAATAAGCAAATCAATTGAAAACTGAAATAATTATTTTGTAGCAACAGAGTTCTAACAGAAGGAATAAGAAGGGAAACTGAGACACACGACTCAAAGCATCTTCTGAAGTAATACTTGAAACCTAAGGACAAAAAAGTTCCCTGTCATAACTTGTGGAGGAGATGGGGAAAAACCAGTTGTTTAAGGATACAGGTGGATCTGATGCAACAATGAGAAGTACAAGTTGTCATGTCCAAAACGAGCTTTACAACGTCGGTGCGCGGGGAGGGGGGTTGGGGGGGGAAGGGGGTGGGAGGGAGGGGGGAAGGAGAAGGATAGGGATGGGGGGAGGGGGGAGGCTGGGAAGGGATGGGAAGGGTAAACAAAGGAGGAGGCTGCAATGCTTGATAAGAAATGTATGTATTATCCTGCCCATGCAATTGTAACCCCTCTGTACAGTATGTTCACAAATAAAATAAAATTAAATTAAAAAAAAAAAAAAAAGTTCCCTGTCATAGGAAGATTAGAGGAAAAGGATCCTACACAGGCAGGCATGTATGTGAACTCTGGTTGCAAAGGAACATAGTATGTTTACATAGAAAAAGAAAGAAGGTCCATGAGGCTAGAGCTGAAACATACTAAGGGAGCAGCAGAAAAGAGAGATGAGTAAGAGTGGAGGCATGGTCATGTTCTGGCCAGGTCTTACCAGATGTGTTCCAAAATCCCAAAGGCCTTGGTTCTATGCAGGAGAATGTTGAATCAGAATTCTGTTTTAAAAGGATAACTTAGGTGCTGAATATATTATATATGCAACATGTACCTAATATGCCTTGTGGGGGAAAAAGAATGCAGCAATACACATGGTATGACCTTACCTACATTCAAAAAGAAATATGGTTTTGAATACACATGGAAGTTTATGTATGAACAAAAGACCCATCTTAAATTACTGCTCAAATACAGAAGAGGCTGGGAGAAGGGGTGGCGAACTTTTATTTAACATTATATACTCGCAGGAACATGGTAAACCTTTTTGCTAAAAAAATACTGTAATTTCACATTTCACAGGACTTTAACATTTTACAAACTAAATTCATCTTGCTTGAAAGTATAATGATTGTTAAGGAATTACATGTTATCAAAACAAACTAGCAGACAGATGTGGTGGTATGCAGCAGTAATTCCAGCACTCGCAAGGCTGAAGGCAGGAGGATGGCAACGTACACCAGCTTGGGCTACATAGAGAGACTCTGACTAGAAAATAAAACAAATGCAAACACAACAGAACATCTTCCCAAAATCCATTTAAATTTTCATGAGGTCCCATTGTCTTAGAAACAAGTGCAAACTCCTCAGCTTGGTTTCAGTACTTAATCAAGCCTGCCTACACGGCAGGTCTCAGCCCCATCTGATCCCATCAAGCCCGTGTCCTCCACCCCAAATCTCCTTGGCCTCAGCACATCCTACTCTACTTTGCTAAGCTCAGAGAAGAACTCTCTTCTCTTTTCACA